AAATTACAACACGTAGTTTTACGATTTAAATAGCTAAAAAAATCGAACTCCTTCTCACGCGGAATCACGTGCGACGTTTGCATTGACGTAGGAACCCGATAGTTTTGACGAATAACATTGCGTGATTCAATTATTTAAAGCGTCTGGTTGCGTTGTTGCTGGTAGTCAACGATGGTAACTTAATGTGTTGATTTGTTCAATCATGCCTGTTCACTAAAGTGCATCGACCCCCCCCCCCCCCTTCGCTCTACAATGCTCTATTTATGATGATCCGGTATTCCGAACAAATGTGACATTGTCGCTGACGAACGATCCCAATGATATATCAATTGTATTCCGCTCAGCGGCAGGCGATTATTACACATTACCCCCAGGCTAAGATACATTCTTAGTAAGATTTGTAAATTGTTATCGAATAAATTATATATGAATCTGAAATGAGGTTTAAGCGTGGACAGTCGTCACACACAGTGCATTTAAATATGCGATTGAACGCCACCGCCGTGATAATTCACGTTGAGTATCTCAGGATATACTGTATTCAACAAAACATTTAACGAAAGTCAGTGGAAATGACCCGTCACAGGATTATATTGTACATTGATGCAATTATTTACAGTTAATTGTAACACATCATCAACATATCAAATGTTTCACAGTTATGTGGTCTAGCGCCGCACTGGCTGTATAGTGCACATTTGTGCATATTCAAACGATTTTGCTACTAATATATAATAAAATAGTTATATATATATATATATATTTAAGCGTGAATTTGAACATTGCCATTATTTCTGTTGCAGAAATCCGTGAAGAGTTTTACAAACGATCGGGTTCGAATCATACCAACAAACTGGCCGGCAAACTGACGAAGGAATTGAAGGTAAATAAAAAATACACAATTAAAAACTACAAAAAAACAAAACAATACTAGTAGATTTCCCGGCACATTTTTCTTTTTGTAAACCAAGTATTTTGTGCATGTTTAAAAAACATGATATAGTAGTGATTACTCATTACACACATGTTATAATATGTAAATAATGTAATGCATGACATCAATGTGTGACGTCACATAAAAGTGATCACGTGATTACGCGTATGAATAAAACTTACCATTTCACATGTGAATCCTATCGAAATGTTTTGGTAACCTCCACCAACACGGCCAACGTAAGACCAACATCTATAATACAAATTTAAACAATTACAAAGACATATAATAATATGCGTAAGAATGGAAACACATTATTGTGATCGAGTACAGCAAACAATACAGTACAATTGTGAAGTACAATGTACACTGCAATTTCACATTTGATAGGAAAACCGGTTTACAAAACAACATACTTTTGTAACACTATATATAAATTAGTGACCAGTATGTCGAAAGCATTTGTTGCATAAAAAAGAATAATAAACTTACCCAACGTCTTTAATGAATCGTATCCACGACGTATGTACGGTTGAATTGTAAGGCGGAAACTCAAGACAAGTATTGGTCTCCCAGTGGTCTATTGCTTCTAATATTGCATCAGTATCAACTTGGCCTAGAACACATAGTAATGTAGTGTACATTGAGAAAGTAAATAAAACTATATATGTTATTTAACGATTCGAAGAAGGGAGATGTTGTAATTCTTACTTGAAGATGATATTTCATAGGGCACGATGCCATCTGGCCAGCGCCGCGCCAGAACAGCAATGGCCTTTCTTCTACCCAATCTTCTTTGTGTGGTTTGTAGCTCGATGGCTCGAAGTGTTTCAGATTGGTCTTTGGTTAATTTGATATCAGATTGGAAGCAGCCGTCAGTTGCTTCTTGTTCTGGGGGCTGATAATGTTTCTGAGATGGCAACAGAAGATGAGTCTTAGATAATAAATGTGTCGGGGATTTGAGATGTTTCTGCGATGACAAACATGAAATATTGTCATGATTACCTGTTATTGTTAAATAATAAATTATGTTTACATCCATGAGAGGTGGACATCAAACTATCTTCATAGTTTACACCAGTTCGGTGCAATATGCTACGTAACAATTACATTGATTGTATATTCACGCTGATTTCAAATGAACAAAACTGAGATTCACTTACCGCGTTCATTTCATATATCCCAATCACTAATATCATTAATAATACTGCCTGAGTATTTTCCATCTTGATGAGTTATGACCAATAAATAGACCTAGGGAATTTTAAATTAAATTATTCATTTTTTTATTAAAGAATGTAAATTGATGTTCAGTATCTCATTGTATTCTGATTATTTCAAACGGGATATAAGCAAAATTTAAAAAACTTGTTTCCGATGTGGATTTTGTTTTCTATGTTTTATATTTGTCACAAGGCGTGAAATTTTCAAGTCGTGGTATGTCTTCTCAAAATGAACCATATTACCGTATAATTATAAATACGGAAACAGAAAATTACCAAATCTCCAGAAAATAATTGTTTGAAAACCTCTAGCAATATTAATTTGCATGCTCATTATACTTGGTGTAAATAATTTGTCACTTGCAGTCCCATACAGTTTATGTTTGGTTTCAAAGCAATATATCGAATACCCTATTTATGCAAAATGTTTCATTACATAGCAGAAGTCCGAAATTTCAATGTGACTCAAAGAATGTCTGAACATAAAAACGAAACAAATATTTGTTTTAGCAGTGTGTACATACGAGTGGGTAGCTCGTGAGATAATATAAATATGTCTTTAAAAAACTGATTAGATCACATACATGGGAATTAACATTGAATTCTGTCAACTCCACGTTACGTTTTTCTATTATTCGACATGTTTAATTAATGAATACCACTGCATTTCTTGAAATGCTGTGTTGGTGGTAATACTGGTCTTAGATGTTGTCAGATAGATTACTCATGCAATTTACTCAATGTACATTTATGCACAAGAGTTATAGTCATAAATAGTGTAGTATAACCCATAAATATAATTCACATAAAATAAAGAACGAGTGCAGAAATTTAAACATATTGGCAATTAATGACAAGAAAAGAACACTATCACAGAATTGCGACACATCTAGAAGTATTTTCATAGATTATACGAGTTCGAACGTTGGCATGGTCACATTAGTTTACTGAAAAACATTTACTTACATACATCCGCAGACCGTAGCGCTAGTTTAATAAGTAATCTGATTAGGTTAAACCCGTTATAAATATAAAAACAAAAAAATATCAGATCGGTGATTGGTCAAAACAATGTAATGTATGTTACACAAATCTTTGAGTAGTGCGTCCATCCTATTTGTATTAACCAGAACATGATGATTTGTATGCACGCTACACATGTCACGTGACCATTACTCTGATTCGTACACAATAATCACCAATGCGTTCTTATTCACAATTGTAATATCCTAACATTTTGACATTAAAGTGAGCAAATTGAAGCGCTCCTATATCGATTGCTCAAACGTATTTTACACACGTTCCAAATTCAGACATTTCATTTTACGGCAGCACAGGGTAATATTCAGCCATATGTTAGTTCATTTCAGGAAATTGGAGAATTATTCCTTGGGGTGAATGAAAGTGAAGTAAAATCTGTGGACGGAAGATGATTGGCGTGACTAACGTGTGTGTTAGTAATGTCTGTAAATGAGAACAGTGGTTATCTGTGTTAGAGTCTAAAAATTAAAACCTAATTCAAAAAATTAAACATGTTTAAACTGCGTTCACATAATTGCAATTGCATGCGCTCATATAGCATAATCAATTTTGACCGCACCATTCGTGTTTATTCAAATTGCTAAATCAGAAATTGCTACACCATCAAAATAATCTGTTTCGAACAGCCGATTAGCATTCTGATTATTGGCAGATTATTGTGAAGCCAGATGTATAACAACTCGCCACATTCTCTACTCAAGAGGGTTAATATCAATTTAAACAATTCCTTATGAGTAATACAATGGACGTTATTTATATATTAAAATAGAAGCGACTAAAACGTCAGGGTATTTAGCGCTGGATGTGCGAGTAAAACAGTTCCGATTGTTTATGTTTTTAAATATCTTGTTTGTTTTATCGTATTAATATAAGTATGTATACAGTTAGAACAAACTTACTTATGATGAATTTGTTTCCTGTGGAAAAGTTGACTTAAAAATGATAGAAGGGAAGCCCGGCGACAAGAACACTAGTTGATAACAACAAATAGTAAGCTATAGTAGTTTATTTCATCTGACAGCAACCTGAGAATTGTATACGAAATGACCAAGCAATACTAGAGATTGTCTAGATATATTTGAGATAATTGTATTTGTTGTAGAAACTTGCAAGCATTTCCTGTAATTGTATTCTTACTGCAAGTGACATTTTTCTGGTTTTACGGTGATAGCGTGGGTAATATTTCCTGCTGAAGATATGTTGTGACAGATTCGAACACCTGTTCAATCACTGACAGTAATTACAATAGTGCCCAGAAGGGAATGACAATATAGGTTATTTCCAAATTAAATTGCCAGTATCACAAACCATATTTTTTTATCCTAATGTAATGTTCTGAATGAGTTGAGTATAGAATAAAATAATAAAAAAATAAAATAAAAATAAAATAAAATAAAAATAAAATAAAATAAAATAAATTAATTAAACCCACTCTCCCGCATTACGACAATATTCAGTATAATGTAATGTGGTGTAAAACGGAGACGACCTAGTTGACCTAGGAACGACATTAATGCAGTTGTTTTCAATGTATTATCGAGTTTATTAATTTATGGCATAGGGAATCAGTATGTTTTATGCATTATTGTCTGCAAACTCATATAGATGGCCTTATCAGCAGGGGTTGTACAAAATAAAACATAAAATCAAACGGATAATTTAGGATTATTGCTCAATATTGGTGCTTGGTGGGATTGTATCGACGCATCACACGAATCAAAGATTGTTATCCCTATTTGCAGGATTATTGATTGGTTATGGCTGTAGCCGGGATTACACGGATAGTATATAGTAAATTTCGTGGCTTAAATTAACCAATTCATCCATGAATCGTATTGAAAATACAATGGACGAATAAACTAACTCTAAAACCCAAAACGTTTGTATTGTTGAACCAAAGAAAGTAAAATTAGAATTTTCGTATCGCTTACACGATTTTCCCCTCGGTACCAGTATATCCTCGTCTTCCAGTGTGATCAAATCTTCTGCATTTGTCGTTCAATTTCGCATTCCCTGTTTCTTCAAATCAATTTCTGTTCCCTCTCTGGATTTCCCCCTATTTCGATGAGGCATATGCAGAATATTGGATTAAAGTAGATTGAGATCGTGCTATAATCCAAATCCCATTGAAAGGCTTGTAAGTAGACATTTTACTATGACGTATTTATTTTCATATTTTCATATTTTCATAATGTATATATTTTGTATTTTATTACTTTATAACGCCGAATTCCTTGTACCCACTTTTCCATTTCGAACATAACATCGCAACACCGAGCTCAGCGTCGTCGTATTATTTGTTTTGATTATCTAATGCCATTGAACATATTCCCGGCTATAACGTTGACGCGGAATATCATGACTTTCGCCGTGCCTTATTGTCACTGATATTCCGTGTTAAACGTCACGTAATGAGACAGTATTTGCATATTCATATGATAGAGACTTTCGTTACATGACGAACATTCTCTTACTTTTAATGAATTCAAGTTTGTTATGACTATTGATGAAATATTATCTACACAATCACTTTATTGACAAGAGCAAACCACAGAACAAAACAGAATAGAATAGAAATGATAGGCAACATTTTCTAGAGTATTTATTATTTGAAACAAAAAATATTTTCTAGAATAAAAAAATGTTTACAGAACCATGTAATCAGAACTGTTAAAGTTCATAAAACACTCGATTAGATAAAAAGAGTCATACATCTATTTGTTTAAAAAAAACATTTACTCATTTGATTTGCGGCTGTTTAAACAGACCTTGTATTAGTGACCCACCTTTTACCAACATTGTTAAGTACACACACACACATATATATGGAATATCTGGTATGTAACTTTATGTGCGTAGATGATGAGCTGAAAAAATAACACGGATGTGCATGACACAGGATACCTAATATATGCGTGTATGATCGCATGAAACCTGCTGCCGTCCCTCACCATACACATACATTAACATAACCGTAACATTGTTGCACATTCAGTTACTAAACGTAAATTTGACATTCTTACACACACGTGTATTCTATATAAATATAACATTGTTTCAGACGTACTGCATCTGCGTTATACACACTATATATTGATTTAATATTGCAACGGCGATTTCAGCGCCAGTTGTACATATTACGTTATTGTATGTGTATCGTATTCCACATCATTTTTCAAACATTCAGAGTCACAGTAAATACTAGTAAATGAGCCCACGACTAAGGGTACGAAGTGCCTCAGGTCACGTCTTTTTCAATGAATGGGAAACATCGGCAAAAGTTATAAAAACATACATGTTTATTTTATTTTATACCGGGTCTCTGCCAGGTGCGTAGTTAGCATTTGATGTGTGTCACACTAGTACACATCACACACATTTAGTGAAATCTAGTTGGAGTTTCGTAGACATTTTCTGTAATATCGTCTTTGATGACATCAGCGTATTGCTGTTTGCAATTAACGACCGATTCGTATTGGTTCATTTTAATATCTTTCCTGATGGGTGACATGTAACCCTGTTCATACTCTGCGATATTATCATACACATGACCAACGCCACCAAGTGTTGAATGGTCTGCAACTGCCGTGTTTTCATCTGCATCACTCTCTGTTTGTTTGCTTTTCTTCCTACGACATAACACAACTACACCTATAATAGTTATCGCTGTAACAACTACAGCAGCCGTTGCACCAAGTGGTAACACAATATCGATCACTGTACTACTATTTGTCTTTTCGTCTCGCGCACCTAAAATAGAAATATTCAAGTGTGATTGGTAGTCATATTGGTTTTATGTTACTATTATGTTATAAATTTGAAAGCAGCAAAATGCACGGACTATTTTATAATATATAAAACGACAGAAAGAATTTTATTTATTATTTTATGAAAATAAATATATAAAGGGTGGACAGGCGAAAAGGTGTTTAAAGTAAAGTAGTTGAACTGATATCAAGATTTAGTACATTTAGGAAAGAAAGGGGGATTAGCTGTACATCATTGCGTCATAACACTAAAAAGACGGAGACTAGTGCATTAATTGGTGAGACTGAGTCGAGGTACTTATTTGGGCTAACATTGCGTCTGAGGACTTATCACGTTATAATGAGCAGTGCCGAATCGTTTATATCAATTATAATGAGAAGAAATAAATCAACTGTTTAGCTAGCATGTCGACGACGATAATCAGAGCTAACACGCTCATACGAGAGGATGCTGGTAAAAATAACCAGGGATTCCTAAAGGTGGCCATGCTAACAAAGATGGCGACTTTGCTTGTTGTGCAGACTAAGAGTTAACTACGTATTTCATGCAATAATTAGAACACATAGAGTGACTCTATGAGATCTAGTCGATATATAGTACACATCGAGAACTCGTATTCAAGCTTACTGCTGGGGGCTCAGTTAGTTGTGGAGAAGTCACTGTTTATCAACACAAATCACTGACGTGCGCGACTACCGCTTCAAAATGAACAAATCATAACGGGTATGTTATTTCAAAGATTCATAAAATGTGGGTGAATATTGTATATCCACGCATAAACATGTCTGTGCATTGTCCTATATCCAGATAACAGGTGGTTCTGATCAGCCAATAAGGGCGTCCCATCAGAAGAGAATACTGTCACATTGTGCTATGTATACGTTTAATAAAAGATACATTTAAGTTGATGATATATGCTTCAGTGCAATAATATAACAACCAGCACGCCAAGTAATTACTCTAATAGGAAGGTATGTACGTTTCATTAAATGAACTCACCTTCTGAACTTGCATTAACAGCAATCTATATAAAAAAAACATTAAATATTGTGTCAGTAAAAACTGAAGCCTGAATCTGTATTTACAAATGAAGAAATGGAAATTACTACAAATATCAAGGAAAGTTGAATTACTTGGAACAACGGAATTAATTTCTTGCAGTATAAGAGAGATAAATTTGTGAACCATCCTCGAATTGAATTACATAAACACTGAAATAAACAGCTTCATAAACGTTCAAGCTATAAATAGTTTTTGCCCATAAGGCTGTTCTTTTTGTGTCGTGTCTTAGCACTTTCATTGGAAGTAAGGTGTACTACTTTACCTGGTGTGATCTTGTAGTCGTAAGCATGGCGTTGTTTGTTGTTGTGATTGTAAATGAATAATAATATATGCTGTTTTCTTCTTGATTTTCAGTTGGAATTCCAAGCAAGTTTTCATCGAGTTCTACGGCGTAATCTCTATAATAACACTCATCGTCTTTTGGTATGCAAGCACAGTTTGGAAGCTCACATAATGAAACACCGATCTGAAAACAGGAGAATTTGCTACTGATTTATGTCTGGTGATGACAACTTGTGCAAAGTATCGCTTCTAACGACATGCACAGTCAGAATTCGATAAGTTACTGTAGGAATTTACCGTTGGTTTTTTCACAACAACCTGACCACTACCACGCGTCACGTTGACATTCACCAAGTCCATCAAATGCCACTGAATAGTATGTACTCCACTGTGGTCATCGTAGGTTTGGAAAATAATCCTGGGATAAAAAGGAATATCTAGTGTGAAGTTGTAATGCGTCACTGACTGAAGGGAATTCAAAATGACACACTCAGAAAAAGGTTTGCTGTCGTAAAAGCAACATATGTTGCAATTGTTAAATAAAACCCCTCCCCCCTCCCCGTGCCGCCACCACTGATCGTACCATCCCCACGCCTGGATAATCAAACGCGTACTGATGCTACCCAACGCTATGCATTGTCAACATTCTTGTGCCTCAAACATTCACAATTTGCTCACTCGTATGTTTTTTCCTGTTGACTCACAACATTCACAAACCAGTGTATGTTAGATGGCGCTCTTTTTGTGACACCGGAATCTAGACATGAAATCACAATTGATAGTGCCTGGTGTTGGCACGTGTCTTTGTATATGTCTCGTCTGAGGTTAAATATGGATTGCGTTAACACACTAAGACACATTAAATAAACAACTGCGTTCACGTGGGAGTCATACATCATATTATATTGTACGTACCGTAAAGTAGATGGTTTTACATTTTTTACTGACGATATATTATGGATTTCTGGTCGCGACGAATCCACGTGAATCAGAACATCATCTTGGTTGCTGTTGCCCATCACGTCTGTAGCTCTCACCCATAAATGAATGGAATCACCGTCGTTACGGGGAACATCGAAATGTTGGAACTCATGCTATCAAAAAAGAGTATAAACAATTTAGAATTTAAATATAAACTCATTTTTCTGTCGAATATGGTCGAACATTTCAATATAGTATTTCACTTAAGTTTAGTGATTACAGTCACTTCCATTAATAATTTCATAGCACAAATTCTGAAATTTAATCATTTGTTATGAAGATGTCCATTATCAAGTACCATGACGTTTTCAATGCTGCTCCAGACTCCTGATGGATAACTGATAGTGCGACCTCCCTTGTTGTCTATATCGTAGTTCACTTCAAATCGGACGATGGCGTTGATGTTTGGTATTGCTTCACGTGACCTGGTTGCTGGAGGTTGACCCGTGACCTCTTCGTATTGTGACGTCAACGGAGGTGAATCATCTTCAATTGCGTTGAGGAATTTGTGTTGTCTGTGAAACCAGTTATAGAAATGTCCTGTCCACCGTAGCACCACCTGTGAAGCAATGCGTGAGAGGCTTGCGTGAAAACATTCAAATTGCTGTAGTGCTCACACCACTAAGAAACGAAGTTCTGTACGACAAATACTATTAGATGTTAATGAAAGGTCATAATTAGTATGATTAATACACTAATTATCAAAAGATTTGAGATATGCACTCTTTGTTCTAAATTATGTATATTATTGATATCGCGTCAAACTATTAGTTGTTATAATGTGCTTTATGATGTGGAGAGAATCCGTGATTATTACCTACACAGTAAAGAATAACGATGTTTAATATATATCAAAATTGATTGAATAGTGTATCCATGAAATATTCTGAACTAAATTTTCTAACTTACTCTGGGCCCTGTGTTGTTTGTATCTTGAAGATCAGTTTGCCAAAGAAAGGATGTATTCTCTGCTGCCGAATCAACCCACATAGGGTACTGGTCAGTCGTATCAATATCTACTGCGTTGACGTCATCGAATATCAAAAACCGCCGGGCCCTATTATGGTTACCGGCCACGTCATCAACAATCAACATGACACAATACACTCCTGAAAATGACAAAAACAATTTTGTTGTTACAATATTGAAAAAGACAGAAAAACGACTCAACCACTGAAGAGTACATGATCACTTGAACAAAAACGTGTCCGTGTAACGTCATGGTGAAGGTTAGCTGGAACAGTAAACATATAATACTAATTTTAAATTATTATGAAGTGTGTGCGTATCATTTGTACTATCCCGTTCCGAGAACTGTGTAGATCTACTAGACCCGGGTCCCGTAAAGTGATAGCGAACAGTGTAGTTAGGTAGATATACTATACCTAGGATCACTTAATGAGATAGTGAACTGTTT